TGGGATCCTCTGTAGGGCAGGCGAGAAAAGCTTGCCCATGAGCTCAGAGGTCACATGGAAGCACGTGTACTTCGACGCTCCACGACTGAGAAGTTCAACCTTTCTGCAAATGTCATCATGCCTTGTCGCGTCCAGAACTCCTGCAGATCGTGGTCCCCATGCGATATTGGCGAGGTCCTGTGCATATCGGTAGAGCACATCGATCCAACCCCCCAGGGTAGAGTCCTGAAGAGCTGAGGTGTCTGCGTCTCCCTCTGCAAAAACCCGGACCCCATGATCCCTGTAGTATTGTTCATACAGGATCGTCCAGTGTGACGTGGGGTGCTCTGCACGCAATGCGCGCCACCGATACACAGGAACAATCCCAAGAAACAACTCATCGTCCGCAGCATCGGCATCTGGCTCGACCACAGCGTCAGCCAGGTCCCGATAGGAAGGCGGGAGCAACAGTCCAGCCATGGCGTCAGCCCGGCGATCGGGGTCCTGCAAGGCAAGCTTGAAGTCCTCGATGCGAGCCTTCCGCTCTTCCTGGGAAAGAGCAAGTGCCATTCCTTCGGACAATGGAATCGCGGGACACACAGGAGCGTAGGAATGATGAAGGGCTTGTGCCACCGCTGCGGTAGCTTTGCAATGTTCTTTGAATGCGCTGTGAATGGCTCTAGCAAGCGATTTGGGGTAATTCTCGGATTCTTTGAGGCACTTCGCATGCGAGTGATCACCAGTGCAAACTTTAGCGTGAATCTTCTTGTGTAATGTTTCAAGCGTAGTAGCAACGCACCATGGCTTTTTGACGGGATTATGACGTCTGTCTTTAAGTCCAAATCTACAACCGTCAAATTTAGCATAAACAAATGGATGAAGATCCAACCATTTTCGGATCTTACTCCAACCCCAATACTCACAGTCACGAGGCCATTCGACACAATACTGAACACCAACCTGGTCCAACCCCTGCGAAAGATCCACAAATGAAGCCCACAACTTCCTAAAATCCTTGCGTGCTTCCAGAACGGTATCGCGGTTTTTAGGTATTTTCAGGTTGATTCTGGTCCAAGCACTGCCCCCCGTACACGGGAGACTGACCCATGTGAGAACCTGAGCGCCAGCCCTGTGATAGGATTTGGCAATTTTCAGGACTTCTTTACGAGTATCAGGAGAATTCAAATCCATGCTTTCTGTGATGCGGACGACCTTGCATTCGGGAAATTCCGAATGAGCAAGTTCCCCAATAATAGAATCTTGATTACAACAAACCTCAATGATAACCCTTTGAGCTTTCCCCTCGGGCCTGGAGGGTTCTCCCTGCTCGGCAGTCGCCGCGCCAGCGGGATGAGCCTTTGTGCGCTCAAGCTTCCGCTGAGAGATGCCCAACAATCGTAGAGCATTGCTCCACTTCTCAGTGCTTGTAAACGGCTTTGTCAATATATCCGCTGCTTGGAGCAATGTGTTGATGTATGCAAGATCGTAGTGCTTCCTACGAAATTGTTCCGCTATCCAACCTAAGTTGATTCTCTGCGTTTTATCAGCGTGGCGGAAAGCAGGTGACTTGCCAGACTCGAGTATCCGAATGGTAGCTTGGTTATCTTCAAGAACAACTGGTTGAATGGAGTGAGGAACAGACATGATCAAACCCATATCTTTGCTGGTCCTAGAGATACCAATCTCATCAACATCAACACCCCCCGAACTCCTAATTCCGGCGGTCTCCCTATGGAGGATAGCCTCCGCCTCCGCGTGGCGGCGATATTCGGCAGTTGACCTCCGGTATACCAAGACGCCAGCTTCGAAGTCGGTTGGGGGCAACGTCCTTTCATCCTCATCAAGTTCTTCCCATGCAACGGCCTTCTGGTGAATTTCCCATTTCCCTTTCCGGAGCAACCAAAGATCCCTTATAGGATGGCTAGAGAGCTCAACGGGATTAGGTAGGGATTGCATCTTATTGAATACCTCAACCTGCCTTCCGTCAGAAAGGAGATACTTACCAGTTTTGGTGATCTTCGACATTTCTGGGAAGGGGTGAGTCTTAGAGTTGAAATCACCTTTAGGTACGTCGCTTTTTAGTGCTTTCAGGGCTGCATCTCCCCCCGCGTTCAGGAGTACGCTCCAAAGTGCGGATGAAGGAAGTCCCAGTGCCCTGAGAGACACGTTTGCACATACAACTTCAGCTTCAGTAGAGCTGAGCGCCGTGCTTGTTTGCTTCTTACTGAAGGCAGATAACGGAAAATAGGTATTAGGGCCTACAAGTGCGAGGAAGCCGCCTGAGGTGCTTTTGTTGTCGTGCTCTCCAGCGTGATCTGAGTCTGCAAACAGCCAGAGTTTGCAGTCCTTCAAATCATCTCCTATAAAACAGGACATGCGATGATCAAGCGTGGAGGCGACGTAGCACATAAGGCGGTGTAGTGCTTTGTCACAGTCGGTAGACCATTTGGTGATGCGGCTAGCCAGACTCTGCACAGCTCGAAGCAAATCAAAGCGAGCCATTCTAGCAGCGAAAAGTAGCTTCATGAGAACTCGGCTTGCGATGGGGGCTAGCTTCCCTTTCGGTTCAGCCTCCGCGTCAGTGGGGCGAGCGATCTTGTCATCATAAAAAGGTGTGGTCACCTTTTTGAGGTGATGCCATTCCGGGCCTGTGAGTTCTTTGTACCTATCTACAGCTTGCTGCAGAAAAGAACTCATGTCGTAAACGACTTGCTTGGTCGGAGCATACATGGCACCTTTGTGATCGCTCAGCTGATTGACATCATAAAAGGCATGTTTGCGAGCTTCTTTCTTGGCGGAGTTCTTGTCTCTCACGCGCTTAACTGCTGCAAGGGCGCTGTGCTCGGTGTGATTGGAAGTGGTAAGGTAGGTAACACCGGTCCAAAAGTCACTAGACTTCCGTCCAGGGCCCCCCGAATCCCACGTCTCGGTTGGCGAGTCCTCTTTGCCTAGAGGAGCAGCCACGGTGAGTCTGTGCGACCCGAGGTCGAGGGCGAGGGCTTCCGCCGCGCGAGGTTTGAATGGGACCTTGCGAGGCTGAACATGGTGCCGCACGATGACCCCTTCTTCCGGGAAGTACTCGGTGAAATCCTCCTTAACAACCACACTTGCAGGCTTGGCTGCGGGATCAGGCAAATGTTTGTCGAACACATGAGCAAAGGGATGATCTGAAGCATTCTGCTTCTCAGTGCGAGAGATGTGCTCACAACCCAAATATCTTCCGATTGGGGTAGGCATGTCCATATCGATGCGGGAGCCAATGAGTTCCCAGCCTTTGGCAAGGTTCTCTTTAGGCCCGGCCATCTTGAAGTCATCCACGTACACTGCTAACAAGAGCCTAAGTGTCGGGTGAAAGAATACTGAGGGCCACGCCGCTGGGTAGACAAGCTCAAATCCTACCTCCTTGAGTCGTTTCTCGCAATGTTGCTCCCAGAAGCCGCCGCTATCTGGGTGCCCGTAGAGGGCCAACCTCAAACGCACAACGGGATCTTTATATTTCCCTATCCACTCTTTAGGCCACCGCTCCCGCGGGAGGCGTACCCAAGTGTCTGCTCCTTTAAGGGTTGTCTGAGTGTACGCCTGTTTGCCATCTGCTTGTTCTACCCCATGGTTTGGGGCATGGCCATAGGCGTCGAGAACCTTCCCTGCCTCCATGGTAGCTGGACTGGAGCCCAGCTCGCTAAAGAGAGCAGTGTCGTTGTTCTCATCTCTGACATTATTACCCTGAAAGACGGTTCGACCCTTGAACTTCCGTAAGGGGTTTCCTTTGGGAAGCTCGCTACCTTTTTCAACGCAGATTTCAAAGATCTTGCCTACATGGGCTTTCTTACCCTTCTTAGCAGCTTCTTTTGACACGTCATCCCACTCTCTGACAGTTGACATATCCCAGGCCTTCTTCTTGATGAGTTTATCCCATTCCATATCCAATGACGCTTGAGCGTCTGAATCCGTCATGAGTTCCTTTTTGCCCACTGGCCTAGCAACCATGGCAATGGCCTCAGTGATTTCCTGAAACGTTTCAGGGAATGCGCGGGCAACTTTGGTTCTATGCGGATCTTCAGCAGTTGGAACAGTAGGCATGCATGGGAAGTCCTGGGACCCAACAGTTGCTTGACCAGAAGAATCGGGACGTGCAATTACACTAAACTCGGTTCTACCAATCCATTTGTATGACAACTTCTTATTACGCCTCCTAACGTTGCGCCATTCATCTGCGTCGGGGATAATCTCTGTACCGCCTAGCGGCAGGTCAGGCGAAAACAACTCCTTTCTGGGAATGTAATGGAACCTGATCAACTTGTCCCCCCGGATGACCCATTCATCCTTGGAAGCATTCGCCACTGCGGCAGGCTTGCCGCTGCTGCTTGATGAACCACCACCACCAGACTCGAGTTCTCTGAGAGCATTCTCCCGGACTTCGTCTTCAATCGCTTTGTCTTTCTGCTTCTTAGACAACCGAACCCAAAGATCAGATGGAATACTATCTGGCTTTCTGGAACCTCTGGTCCCGCCATATCTACGTCCCAGGGTACCCCCCGAGTCGTAGTAACCACCCCCTTCCGGAATGGGAATCATTTTCCCACTCTTTGGATCAATGACCAACGAGGGTTCATCCTTCCGGTCGGCGTCAACGGAGTCCTGCTCAAGAGCAGGCTCGGCATCTTGGTTCGTCAGCGATTGTGACACTGGGCCTTCTAACGCATCAGTAGCAAGACCTTGCTGGACCTTTTCGTACCTTTCACGCATGGGAAAAACAAACTCTCCGTTGGGAACATGAAACTGATAGGCCTTTACGGGTTTGAGGCATTCATGAAAATCCTGCCGATTTAATTCTTTGAGTGGAAGTGCAAGGATTTCATTTCGCCACTTCATCCCAGGCTGAAAATAATACCCAAGGAAAATTCCGGGCTCAGAAGTTGGTTCGAACCTGTCGCGCTTCCTGCGTTTGTTCTTGGGACCAACCCAGTAATCGACCCTACAACCAAAAGGAATGATCTTTCCCGGAAATGCGTGCCCGAAGCGTTTATACCAAGGTGTATACTTAGGCCCATTGAGGTTGCTAACATTGAAGGCTGCGCAGGAGTGCTCCAACGCCTGAGGCCAATACACATGGGACAGCCCAGCTTGGAGCAGGTTGCTTCTCGTGCCTTCGGTGGTTGCACGGACGGCTCTTTCAGCAATGGCATTGGATTGATGAATATAGGCTTTCGACAATTCATGTCTCCACCCAAGAAATTTCGCAGAGGAGATCAACTCTTGCGCTTGGTCACTGTAAAACACACCCACCTCGTCAGAGGAGGAAACAAAATGCTGCAACGCGGCAATGCACTCGTCCTCTGAACGAAGGGCAGAAGGATATGCATAAGTGAACCCGGTGAAAACGTCCTTCATAACCAACGCCAAACGCGACTCTTCAATGGCGACACCCTTATCCCGATAAACAATGATGTGGTCAGCAGTCAGGTGATCACCAAAGGCCTTGGCTTCGATGCTGTGCGTCCCGTCCGTTTGATAGGACGGCTGCTTGTACATCTTAGCCCTTTGGCATACGTCGCAGAATGGATTCTTTGGCTGATGGGACATCAAGTGATGGGTGCTTTTTGCTTCGGCTTTCAGCTTTTCAAAAGCACGCGATCTCTTGCCATCCCCTTCGGGCACTCGACCTGCTCCATCACCTGGAGCAACACTCACTCCTTCAGGATGAGGAGGCGAATCGCTCGGTTCAGCAGGTACGAGGCTTCCTCCTTCGTCTATCTTGTATAGCACGGACTCGGGAGGATGAGCAGGAGGTGGAAGGGGTGCTACCGCCTCACGCAATTGCTCTTCAACTCTAGACCAGTCCGGTTCAGGAGGAGAGGGTTTGGCCTTAGAGGATGCGGATTTCTCCTTAGGAGAGCTAGTTGGCTTACCCTTCGATTTGGTTTCGGGTTTTCTGGCACGATCTGGAGAGCTCTTGGGCAAGTCCATCATTGCTAGATCATGTAGTGTCATCTCTTCATCAATCTCGACAGGAGCAGCAGGAACCTCAACGCTCCTCCGCGGAACAAGGAACCCATACTCTTTCAATTTGGTAATCTCATCTGGGCTAAGTTTATGGATAGCTCGGTTGACATAGGCCGTGATGCTCCACCTCTCACCTTTCCAGGGAGTGACGCAATGATAGGATTTGGGATTGAACGTCACAACATTCTCTCTTGAATCCCACAACTTCCCTACCACTGAATCTCCCGAAGGAGAGGTCATCACCTCAGTGTCACGTTGGTTCTTCTCGAGGCAGTTATCATGAACCCACAACTGCCCGCCTGTGAAGTCTCCAAGCGAGATTGTGAAATTGTCGTGGTCACGATGATTGTTCACATCCTTGTGCATCTTGACATCGGAATTACAATTCACAGCTAAGGACGTCACCGGCCCATCAACGCCATGCTTCCTAAGATATCCCAGGAGATACTGAATGACTTTGGGGTAGGACTTGGATCGTTTTGTGATCCCTTGCATTCCCCCATGAGAAAACGCTCCAAACACGAGATATTTTGAGTCGCGGTCATCTTTGACGCGGATCGCACTGCGACGGCTCTTGGGCTGTTTGAAAGTTGATTCTTTGAGTAATTTCAAGCACGACCGATGCGAAAAGTCCTGATTCTGGAGAAGCTCTTTCGCCACGATCTCGGGGTCCGTACGGCTCCCGCCTGATGATGCGGCGATCCTTCTTGCAGGGCACGCAGTTCCTTCTTTCCATGATTTGAGGTATGGAACATTATCCCGTACATCAAGGTAAACCTTCCCACTGCCAGGAACTTTGAAGTATGGTCTCTGAAATCCTTTCCAAATGAAATCATACCCTTGCTCCATGCATCTCTGACCAACCGAAAGAACGCTCGGAGTGTTGGGCAACACATATGGCTTGGCAACGCTATTGATGGAGGGAACCCCCACCTCGCATTGCCTGTTGGCATAGCCCGGACCATTCGCAGTAGAGATGTTGATTGGGCAGTCTGATTCAAATGGAACCAGATCCGCGAGCTCCCGCTCGGAGATGAGATCTTGAGCACTCCCTGTATCCCCTATCCATTCCATGGGATGAGAACATAACGCTGCATCTGGTTTGGCGGGGCACGTAACCCTTAGACCCTTTGGAATGCAGTGGTCGCAACCAAACTCGGTATCACAACAGAAGTTGCACTTTGCAGGCACACCATCGAGACTGCTCCGCACAGATGCGCGTAGCATCCTTGCTGCCATGAGCGCATCCCTGGTGGATTGTGCGTTGCCCGATGGAACGTCCTCAGTAGACCAGCTACTTGTGAAGGTACGTTTGGGGTATTCAACAGAGTACTTCAATTCTCCATCTCTAAGAGGGAAGTTGATATAGTCAGGGCTGTCATCGAATGACACCGCTGCAAGCGCCAGGTGTGTAAACTCGGAATAATGAGAGGGCCAACACGACTCATCCTTCCGGAGAGTGTAAGCATCGGCATGGTGAGCCGTGCCTGCCATCATTGCTCCTAAAAGGCAAACCGCAGTAGGAATGGAATGACCACCGCCCTTCTTGCGACCTGAGCCCCCAGACTTCCGCGAGCCATTAGAACCCTTGGAGTTCTTACTGCCCTTTGAATCCTTAGAGCTAGGCCTAGAGCCTTTGCGATCTTTCTTCTTCTTCTTGTGCCTACCCTTACTCTTGTCAGAGTGCGCTGAGCCTTTCGCGCTGCCTCCGGACGGAGCCGCAGCACCTGGCTTTCCCGTATGCAGGAAGGTGCATTTGTCTCCACGGTCACAGCGACCTTGCTTGAAGAATTTGCACTCACGTGGACCGCGACTGGGAGAGCCTGTCCTCGAGGGACTGCGCGGACCACGGCCTCTGCCGGGTGTGGGTGTGCGAGGGCGCCCGGATGGCACCTGGTGCTTATACTTACACTTTTCACCGTTTTTGCAACTACCATTCTTGACGAAGGCAATGCAGAAACCTTTGGGCACCTTCTGGGGTGCTGGCATGGCAGGCACCTGAGGGGCGCCTGACTGTCTTGCTATGCGCTCACGATTTCTCTCAAGTCTTTTGCGATTGATGTGCGCAGTGGCAGCATCATACAGAAATTTGAAGGACCTCTCAGCGGTTCCTTCTGCGGCTCTTTCGTAGACATTGATGTCGTGCTGAAGGGCTCGGCACTTTTTGATCTGTCTATGGAAGAGAGGTTCAAGGACTGTGTCTTCAGGTGTTTTCTGAATCCCTGAAAGAACAGTATCCCAGTTCCTGATGAATGTCACCAAATTCTCGTTAGTCATGGTGACTGACAACAAGTCTTCCATATCATAAACAGAATTGTGCAAAGCATTGGTAGCAAAGTACTTGTGCAAGAGAAACAGGATCTGCCTACCTCTCACAAGCCTTCCGGCGTGAGCCTCCCTCTCTTTGAGGGTGTCCATCTGGCGTGCAAAATCGCCTTCCAGAACATTGGTGATCGCCGACAAGATCTTTGCATCAAGCGTGGTGAAGCCGTCAGTGTTAATGAGATCGCTCTCCTTAGCATCCTTATCCCAAACGTTAGCAAGCCATTCAAAGGCTTTGTCTGGCTTGTTGGAGGCAGCAACGACTGCTTCGCGAACCCTAATCCGCCAATTGCGATACTGCTCGGGTGTAGGAAACTTAGGAAAGACGATCTTTTCGGCTTCTTTGGACTTGTTCTTGCTACCTTCATCCTCAGTATCCTTGTCATCCCCCGACTTCTTGCTACTCCTGGCCAGGGATTTGAGCAGAGCCTTGAGCTGCTTGGGAGATAATCCTGAGTCAGATGACGAGGAACTACTGGAATCCCTCTTCTTCTTCTTCTTTTTGTCTTTCTTCTTGCTCTTTTTCTTCTTGTGATGGCTACTGGAGTCATCATCATCACTGCCGCCGTCATCCCCATCATCTGGGCCACCACCGTCAGGGGGGCGTCGGAACCTTGGTCCCATGCCATCCTGCGGAGGCGTGTTGATAGGAATCGTCGGAACAAGTCCCGGGGGCACAGTGGGCACAGAGCTCGAGGCGTTGGCATGAGCCTCAAGAGCGGCAATTGCCTTGCTGAGCTGCAATTTGAGCTCAGCGTTCTCTCTCTCAGCTGCTTTCCGCTTCTCGGACTCCTGACTAACGACTACTCTGAAGTCTCGGACCTCAGCAGAGAGGCGATTGATCTCAACCTCAGATGAAGCCTGCACTGCATTTGTTGCCTGGGCAGCAGAAACGCGTACACTGTCAAGCTCAGAGTTCATGAGATCAGCATTGCTCATGGCCTTAGCTTCCGCTAGGTGGAGTTGCTCCTGGAGCCTAGCATATGACAAATCTGCGTGCGATTCTGCAGATCTCAATTTTTCAGCCAAGGCATGAGCTTCACCGCGAGCCATGTTTATCTCAAGGGCCTGCGATTCCAATTGAGTTTGGCCTGTTGAGAATCTGGCTCTGGCTTGCTGTTCCTCTTCTCCAAGCCTTGTTTCGGCCTGAGCAAGTTCAACTCTTAGTTTCGACACTCCGGACATGACATGGCTACCCATAGATAGCATCTGCTCCTGAAAACTGTTCGTGATCTGACCAAGGATCTGGTTATGGCGATGCTCAGCAATCTGTTCAATCAGAGGTGATCTATCATTCTGAATGAACGTCTGGCTTACGTTAGCTTGGTTCTGCATGAGTCTTTGTTCGCCAATCATTAAGCTGTTCATCGTCGCGGAGTTCGGCATAGAGAAACTCGGTGCTGTCGGATTAAAGGTCTGAAGTGAACCTCTTTCAGCTACATTTGGAGCTGAAGCTTGTCTTTCATGAGGAGACACGACCTGCCAAGGTGTGGTGGTACTGAGGCTACTAGGTGCTCCTGTGGGGGCAGCAGCTTCCGAAACCGCACCTCTCTGGAAGAGACGCATGTCATGTATCCTCAGGGCATTGGTGGTCAAAGGAGGTTCACTGTCCCGGGGAGGAGCCTCGTCACCTGGAGCATTACCATCAAAGGACATACTCAGGCTACTAGCTCCGTCTTCCGGGATAGGTATACCTGCAGGATTAAGCGGAGCAGAATCCGACATTGCAGAGTTGGTCTAACAGAGTGCTACGGCTGATAACCTATTGTTACCAGCGGATAGCCCTGAACAATCATTTTCTTGAGCCACGGCGAACGGGTGAATACAGCTTGTGTCTTCCAGTAACTACAAGGGTTTAGGGTTGATATAGGGTTTAGGGTTTAGGGTTTAGGGTTTAGCGTTTAGGGTTGATGTAGGGTTTAGGGTTTACAGGGTCTATGGGATTCTGGGTGTGAAGGTGGCTGACCAAGCGTTGGGCGAGCCGAGGCTGTGGAATGAGATACGGGCGCGAGTCCGGTTGCATTGCAAGAGAAGAGAGCGAGAGAGAAAGAGAGAGGAGGGGAAAAAAGATAAATAAACAAAGAAAGAAGGTACAGAAAGGCAGAAGTCACGAACAAAAAACATACTACAGGAATACAAGGACAAAACGACAGAGACACACAAGGAATGCAAGAAAGAACTACAGAACTGCAGAGGCAAGTAACAAAAACAAATGAACAAAGAAATCCGGACAGAGCGAACGAAGGAAACCTCAAGCCCTAAAACCCGAACCCTAAACCCCCTAGAACCCTAGAACGCCTGGAACCCTAGAACCCTCAAACCCTAGAACCCTAGAACTCTAAATCCCTACAGCCCTAAAAAAGTCTAAGCCCCTAAAACCCTAAAACCGTAAAACCCTAAACCCTAAACCCTAAACCCTAAACCCCAAACCCTAAACCCTAAACCCTGCTGAATGCTGTCAAGTTATAGGCTGCTCCTCCCAGCGACCGTCGGGAAGCAGCTTGGCCGCCCTCGGGCTGGGCTTAGGGTTGTCGGAGGCGTTGAGGGTTTAGGGTTTAGGGTTTAGGGTTTGGGGTTTGGGGTTTAGGGTGTAGGGTTTAGGGTTTGCTTGGAAGCATAGCGTTGAAAAGGGCTTGTCGGGGCTGTCGGGCTTTATCGGGCTTTATCGGGTTTATAGGGTTTGAAGGGTTTGTGGGTTGGGGGGTTTGGTGGGTTTGGGAGGTCTTGGGAGCTTTGGGGGTTTAGGGCGCTTGTGGTTTGGGGCTTCCGGTGTGGGGTTTAGAGTTTGTGGTTTTGAGGGCCAAGGTTGACAGGGCTGACAGGGTCTTGGTATGTCGTGGCAAGTAGGGTCAACCCCGGACCCTAGGCCCTCAATCCAAAATCCCAAACCCTCAACCCTAAACCCTAAATCCGAAGAATCCCTAAACGCTAAACCCTAAACCCCTAAACCCTAAACCCTCAACCCTAAACCCTAAACCCTAATCTCCTGGGGTTCTTGTTGTTAGAGGCCGTTCAGAGGGCTGTTTGGCTTACAGGGCTTAAAGGGTTGAGGGACTTAAGGGCTCGGGGCTTAAACCCTCAACCCTAAACTCAATAAACAGCCCTAAGGCCCAAGCCCTAAGCCCTAAGCCCTAAGCCCTGAGGCCCGAGGCCGAAGGCCTAAGGCCTGAGGCCTAAACCCGAAACCCTGAACCCTGAGCCCTAAACCCTAAACCCTGAACCCTGAACCCTGAGCCCTAAACCCTAAACCCTAAACCCTAGACCCTAGACCCTGAACCCTAAACCCTAAACCCTAAACCCCACCTATACCCTACTGAATGCGCTGTGGGCGTTGAGGTCGCAAGTTATCTATGGCAGCCAGTCCTTGGCTTCCTCAGAATTTCGGGTTTAGGGTTTAGGGCTAGGGTTTAGGGTTTAGGGTTTTAGGGTTTTAGGGTTTAGGGTTTAGGGTTTAGGATTTAGGGTTTAGGAGCTAGGTTGCTTTGAAATGGGGTCTTCAAGGGATCAAGGGTACCAGTGAAACAGAACCCATGTCCCACTTCGCTTGCCTGATCAGGTCCTCGCTCGCGCGCCTTCGAGAGGGGGCTACGGCTTAGGCTTCGGGTGCAGTGGACCTATAGGGGTTTAGGTTTTAGGGTTTAGGGTTTAGGGTTTAGGGTTTAGGGTTCAGCGCCCCTTAGTGAAGGCCATTTCGGGATCACTAAGCCGGATTAAGGCTATCTAAGGGGGGGGAACCTAGTTGGGGTAGTATAGAAACCCTAAACCCTAAACCCTAAACCCTAAACCCTAAACCCTAAACCCTAAACCCTAAACCCTAAACCCTAAACCCTATGGGAGCCTCAAGGGGTTTCGGGGCTTCGTGCCTTCAGACTCGGGGATATGGAGGGGCATGGGGTGAGAGCTTGAAATTCGTAAGTACACCCAAAAGCCCTACCTAGAAAAGAAGGAGGTAGCCCTCAGAAGAATCCTATAAACTTGTGGATAATCCCGGACAAGTAGCTAGAATTCTCAGGGTTCCGTTCTTGTAGGGTGCCCTGAGCAAAAATCACTAAACAGGGTTGGATCATGAGTGCAAGGATTATTTGCTTGATGTCTCCTCAGTGGGGTTTCGTAGTTGCTTTCGACACATACGCTACAGTCTGAATCCTAAACCTTAAGCTGAGGGCTTAAGTGCCTCTGGCCGAATCTGCCCTAAAGTGCCCGAAAAGCCCCTAAACCCTAAACCCCAAACCCTAAACCCTAAACCCTGAACGCCCCAAATACCCCTGAAAAAAACACCAGCACCTGCCTCGGACCGGTCTCGGTGCCTATCCTGCTTAGCGACCTCGGCACTTAAGGGTTTAGGGTTCAGGGTTCGGGGTTTAGGGTTTAGGGTTTAAGAATTAAGTTTTAGGGTTTAGGGTCTAAGATTTAGGGTTTAGGGTTAAGGGCCACAGTGGGGTTGACCCACTTACTGGTCCGGTGCACCACGAATAGACGAGTAGGAAAGCTACGGCAGCTACAGCCATAAATGCCTGTCCTCCCCCAATCTCTCAAAGCCACTTAAGTCCTAAGATGAACCCGAAGCCCCAAACTCCTAAACTCCTAAACTCCTAAACTCCTAAACTGCTAAACTCCTAAACTCCTAAACTCCTAAACTCCCAAACTCCCAAACTCCTAAACTCCTAAACTCCTAAACTCCTAAACTCCTAAACTCCTACACTCCTAAACTCCTAAACTCCTACACTCCTACACTCCTAAACTCCTAAACTCCTAAACTCCTAAACTCCTAAACTCCTAAACTCCTAAACTCCTAAACTCCTAAACTCCTAAACTCCTAAACTCCTACTCCTAAACTCCTAAACTCCTAAACTCCTAAACTCCTAAACTCCTAAACTCCTAAACTCCTAAACTCCTAAACCCCTCCTAAACTCCTAAACCCTAAACCCTAAACCCCATGCCCCGAAGGGCTCTAAGCCCTCAAGTCGGTACTCTGTAAACCCTCAGGACCCTAAGCCCAAAGCCAAACCCTACACGCCAAACCCTAAACCCTAAACCCTAGAACCTAAACCCTAAACCCTAAGCCCTAAACCCTAAACCCTAAACCCTAAACCCTAAACCCAAAAACCCTAAACTAAACCCTCAATTAAACCCTAAGCCCTCCCCCCTGCCGAACTCAGGTGGGGGCTGCGCTGCCAGGGTCAGCACTTGAGTCTGGCCTGTGAGGCTGGAAGGTAAGGGTTTAGGGTTTAGGGTTTAGGGTTTAGGGTTTAGGGCTTAGGGCTTAGGGCTTAGGGCTTAGGGCTTAGGGCTTAGGGCTTAGGGCTTAGGGTTTAGGGTTTAGGGTTTAGGGTTTAGGGTTTAGGGTTTAGGGTTTAGGGTTTAGGGTTTAGGCCCACTTCAGGACCTCGCCAGAGGGTGATCAGGCTTTGGGGGTTCAGACGGAGTTCATAGGTTCGTGTGGCGCCCGAGATTTTGTCTTGATGGGGCGCACCTCCAGACCCGGCACGAACCTAACTTCAAATAGGGGGGGCCCAAGACGAGAGCCGGGCTCAACATCAAACCCTAAACCCTAAACCCTAGTATCCTACCTACCTAAACCCTATTATAAACCCTAAACCCTAAACCCTAAACCCGAAACCCGAAACCCGAAACCCTAAACCCTAAACCCTAAACCCTAAACCCTAAACCCTAAACCCTAAACCCTAAACCCTAAACCCTAAACCCTAAACCCTAAACCCTAAACCCTAAACCCTTAGCCAAGCCCTCCGCCCCTCTCACCCGGGGATCGGCCTGCTGTGCCCTGTCTCCTCGGTGCCTTCCGTCGTTCGGGCTTCAGGTTTAGGGTTTAGGGTTTAGGGTTTAGGGTTTCGGGTTTAGGGTTTAGGGGTTCAGGGATAAGGGATTTAGGGTTTAGCCTCAGTTTTGGGCCGAAGGTGGGAGGTTTATACGGTTCGAATCTGACAGTCTACGAATGCAGACCTCTGGGGGTTCAGGGTGTTGGTTTGAAGGTTTAGGGTTTAGGGTCTAGGGTTTAGGGTCAGTCGGTTCAAGCACTAAACCCTAAACCCTAAACCCTAAACCCTAAACCTGAAACCCTGAACCCTAAACCCTAAACCCTGAACCCTAAACCCTAAACCCTAACCGTCTTTCCGGCAGATTTCAGATTTGGGGACCTCGGGGCTTGCTTGTTTCAGGTTTGGGGGCCCAGAGTCACGAGAGGCTTTTTGCGGGTTTCGGGCCTTAGGGCTGCGGCACTTGAAAGGTTTAGGGTTTAGGGTTTAGGGTTTAGGGTTTAGGGTTTAGGGTTTAGGGTTTAGGGTTTAGGGTTTAGGGTTTAGGGTTTAGGGTTTAGGGTTTAGGGTTTAGGGTTTTAGGGTTTACCGTTTGGGGTTTAGGGATTAGGGTTTAGGGTTTAGGGGCTGAACGATACCTAATGGACTGCACTTCTCACACTAGGATGTGGGGAACCCCGAAGTGCCCCAAGCGCAAATTCCAAAACCCTAAACGAGGGGCTTAGGTTGGCTTTTTCATACCCTGAACCCTAAACCCTAAACCCTAAGCCCTAAACCCTAGGTTTGCTTCTTCTGAGTTTTGTGGCTCTGGGGGGCTTCTGCAGAAGGGATGATCTTCAGGGTGTGTTTCGCTCGTCTGCCTCATCGGTGATGTCGACAATTTGCAACCCGCGGCAATCCATCACGGCCTGCGTGGAGGTTCATGGTACTTATAAACCAGGGTGTAGGGTT